TTTCGACTTCTTGTTAAAAACCAATAGTTCAATTGCTTTGATATTACATATTTAGATACTACATGTAGACCTTTCTCAGATTTGTTCATTTCGTGATGATATCTTGGATTCTATAATTTTGGTGAATATTTTTGTCATATTTGGTAAAAAGTGATATTTTCGACTTCTTGTTAAAAACCAAAAGTTCAATTGCTTTGATATTACATATATAGATACTACATGTAGACCTTTCTCAGATTTGTTCATTTCGTGATGATATCTTCAATTTTCTAATTTTGGTGAATATTTTGGTCATTTTTGGTAGAAAGTGATATTTTCGACTTCTTGTTAAAAACTGTAAGTCCGACTGCTTTGATACTATACATATTGTTCATTTTCTGATGATGTCTTCAGTTCTTTAATTGAAATGTGCATTTCTAACAGCGGAGCTATCTCAGCCGATAGGCTGCTTGTTTTATAGCAGTATTGGTCAACAAATCCCATCAGATTAAAGCTGCTAGACTGGAATTGAAAAACGACCGGAACATCCACCTTTTAATTCTATTTTTGATCGCAATGATAATTGCACTTTGATAGAGAATCTAACTATTCAAAGCACTACAGTGATGCAATGGGTGATGGATAATCATACTGAATTATGGGTAATGTTTTTTCTCTTTTCTTCTTTTCAGTTAGTCAGAGAACCAATCATTCCAGGAGCAGTCTTTCAATATGGACAAACCAGCAACTGGGACAAAAAAGGAAAGAGGTAAACTCGAAAGCAAAAAAGATTCCCCATCATCGTCCTTTGATAAAAAAGACCGACAAGAAAAAGGAAAAGACAGAGAGAAAGTTGAGCCAAGGAAGGATAAACCAGAGTTTCGACGAGAGAAATCAAAGGAGAAATCAGAGGGTCGGAAGGAGTACAGGAAGGAAGCCCCGCCTCCTAGATTTCAGACTAAAAAACTGTCTAAAAGTAAGCGATTAGAGGAACCCCCTCCTGCCGTCATTCGTGATGAGGGGGATGTGCCTTGTAAGGACAGTAGTTTTGAAGACAATGAACCTAACGGAAAATCACAGACCTATCCTAAATTTAAATTATTGGTTCGTACGCATGCGGTTCGGGATGACTCACCGCCATCTACTCCAGATTTACTTGCATTGTCGTCGGTAAGTATAGTGGGACTTCGGTTTTTGGCTACTGACCACTACATCATTCAATCTCACCCCACACCCACACCTACCATTTGTGCATCTCAGACTAATATTTCAGAAAAATACTTGAATTTTGTAATATAACCCATCTTCATTCAAACATCGAACAGAGATGCTCTGCTATTGGCAAGCAGATATTATGGGAATACTGTAGCTGTTGCAATCATCACAGTTCACATATTGCTTGACAAGCCAAAGACTCCTACATATAAATGTCAAATAGCAAATAAAAATAAGGATAACCGAACTTGTTTCCATGGAAAAAATGAAATTTAAAAGGTGTTCAACTGGCGTTTGTAATTCAAAAAGTTGTTTACCACAAGTTTTTTCTTTGAATTCACAACAGACACGGGAAATAGTAACCACCCAAAATGATAAGAAATATCTTTTAAAAGTATGTTAGCTACAACAACTCCAAATAGTAATTTAAATTTCAAGTCATTCCCAATAAGCATACTGAAATGAGAAATAGAGATGGTGGCATACGAGATGATCAAAAACTTGAAGTAATTTTTCTATTAATTTTTCCATATTTGATAGATATAGTAAAATACAATTTATTTGTTTGCTTTAATTTTATTGTGTTTTAATCTAGAACCAAAATGATTTCAATAAAATTACTTAATTATGATATTAGACAGATTTAAAATGTTACCAAAAATTGTCTGATTTGCGTTACGTTATTATCTTAGCATGAATATGTATGAGGTAATTTGATTTGGACAAATCATTTCTCAAAAACTAGGATAGCCGCAGGAATATATTTATAATTAAAATAATTATAACTTGTGGCACTGAAATCATTTTGTTTGACAGTAAACCCGGGATTCATGACAAATCACTGAAAAACCGAATCATGTTAAACACACTTGGTTTCAACCGTTGTATATTTGTCATCTGCACATGTTACCCATATTTGATCTCTGTTCCAACTGCTAAACAGTGCTCAGATTACCTCTATTCTATTTTCAGTAAGGTCATTGTAATTGTGACAAATGCTATTTTTGGAATTTGATGACTAATTCTTAACTTTGTTGATATTCCAAAGCCATGCACGTCAAGCGATGGCACCACCACTGCCACTCTAAAGCATCAACTTAGCGGTGATAACCCACCGTTAAAAATAGCTCAAACACAGCTCAGTGGAAGCGCCACACCGAAGAGTGAGCCAGCTCTCTCTAGAGGTAAGATCATTCCATCTTGTTTACATATCTCAATACTCTGTAGTACACTCTGATTTGTATAAAGATACGACTCCCGTACGTCAATCAAACGGATGTTATTCAACGATAGTGTTCTTGAATCTTTGAATTATTTTAAACTGACTTACTATTTATATTTATTTGTCTATTTTACATCCTTCAAGTTCAATTTTTATTTCCTTTCACACAAAAAAAATGACGTAATTTTTTCTATATTTTCCCCCCACAATTTCGAATCTGCAGCTATGACCTGCAGAAAATAAGAAATTATTTTCTTGAAATTTTAACAAAGAAATTTTGAAAAATGTATATTATTAATAAATTCTACAAAGTGTGTTCATCACAACTTTTGTCAGCCCTTTTGCCTCCAAAGACAACTTTTACCACCTGTCTAAAATAAACCCACATAATTTTTCAAAATTAACGAATAAATTACTGAAAAATACATAAACTATACGAAAATGTTGCAGCCAAATTTTCACAGGAAAAATACTACAACGTAGGTATTTTCCTATTCACAATGTGACTGTGGTACAAAAAGCAAATTCAATGAAAGCGGTTAATGGGTCAAAACAAGTATTAATAATGCCGGCCGGATTAACCATGAGTGAAGCTATATATAGAAAGCAGGAAGTGATGGGATTATCCTTTCTAAGCTGCTCACACATGTGATCTTTTCGTTAAAGCTGTCTTTTTGCACATAGTGAAATGCGCAAACACTTCATAGCCATATGAAGACATTATTTTGAAAAAGAGTTGAACACGTCAGTTGGTGACGCCATTGTATACCATTCATGCAGGGTATCTGTCTCGGTTTTCAAAAAGCGATGTGTTAAACCTGAAGAATCAATGGTTACAGAAGTTCACCAATTTCATTTTAAATTGTTCATTTTTTCTCGCAATCACCGTATATTTGCGATTTTTATACTCAAACCTGTGTATAGCAACCACCCAAGAGACTTCATTTTAAATGGTCTTAATTAGACAGGTGGTCGTTATATGGAGATTTGATTATTTTTTATGGATCACAAACTCGTACATTTGATATATTCATCAAGAAATCAACAAGATGTTACTGTGGCAACAAAAACACATTTATGTGATTGGACGAAACCAGATAAGTTTGAAATCAGATAATTAAAAATTAGAAATTTAGAACAATTTTGTTAAAAGGGTGGTCTCATAACACATGTAGTTTTTATATAAAGGTGATCACTAACAGCTTTGACTATATATATATATATATATATTGCTGAATCAAAGAAACCTTAAAAAAATTCTGTATTATAGAGGCATGAAGTAGAAAAAAAAAGCAATTAAATATTTAAAATAATTTAAAAATTAATATAGCTCTGCATTTGAAATGTACAATGTGAAAGCAATCTCTGACCATGATACAAAATTTACTCACCAAAAACTCTAGAAATATTTATTTTATTAATATTACTAAATATGATTGTATGTCTGTGATTTGCAGCCTGTAGTTTATCCTGGAACACCTTTTTATCAAGTTTAATTTAAATCTTATGAGGTGTTATTGAGATACCGAAATATTTTATGCCAATAATAATAATTTATGCCAATTAAGTAATCAATATGTGTCAAATTTGTGGATTATCACAGAGCACCTATGTATGTACCAATATTCCTTGAATCTGATGTGTGGTTCTTGAGATATCTGTGGAATAGATAAAATTTGATTAATTATTATGCAAATTAATTTTTAATATTAATGATTTTCAACCAAGAACCAACAAAGTGTGTGAATTATTCTTGTTCACCAAGTTTCATTGAAATCAGACAAGTAGTTGTTAAAATATCAGTGGTACGGTACAAAAATGTAGACAAACAGACTAACTTCAAAGAATCAATTTGAGTTTCTGAATTAACATCAAAAGCTGAATTTCAAGGGAACATATGGTTATAAGAGTATGGAACTTGAATGTGTACGTTATTAATTCTCATCGTCCTCTTTTTACCATCGCAGAATCAAGTCAAGAGAAAGAGTATACAGATTTTACGGGTGTCGATGTTCATGAATTTATAGTTCAAACTTTACAGAATTCCAGGGATAGAATGATGTTATTAAAACTAGAACAAGATTTAATTAACTTTGTTCAAGATCAAAGGTAAGCAATACTAATCCTTATTTAGGACCCCTATGTTACACATCCTAGTATTTATTCATGACCCTCTGAGGTCACACATCCTTTTACTTATTCATGACCTGCTGAGGTCACACATCCTGATACATATTCATGACACTCTGAGGTCACACATCCTGGTACATATTCATGACACTGAGGTCACACATCCTGGTACTTATTCATGACCCTCTGAGGTCACACATTCGGGTATTCATTCATGACCCTCTACAATGAGGTCACACATCCTGGTATTTATTCATGACCCTCTGAGGTCACACATCCTGGTATTTATTCTTGACCTTCTGAGGTCACACATCCTGGTATTTATTCATGACCCTCTGAGGTCACACATCCTGGTATTCATTCTTGACCTTCTGAGGTCACACATCCTGGTATTTATTTATGACCCTATGGGGTCACACATCCTGATACTTATGTATGACCTAAAGTCAAATGTGATAATGGCAGTGTACAGAAACTCACTTGTGTCATCACTAGCTGTCGAAGAACTGTAGTCTACACACTTTGCATATGTTTAATCTATTTATAAACCACTGGCATGTCATATGGATGTCACTTTGAACTTGATGATGGCATTGTTTATTTACAGTCAACATACGTTGAAATTTCCTCCAATGACGTCCTACCATCGTATGATAGTGCATCGCGTTGCTGCGTATTTTGGTATGGACCATAATATAGATCAAACTGGCAAAGCTGTTGTGATAAACAAAACGCAGAACACAAGAATGTAAGTTATTATTCTCCTTATTGTCTGTTTTTATCATATCATTATTTAGTAACCTTTCTATAAAAGTTTACAGTTAGAATGTCAAATTTAATTGCACAATTATGACTGGTCATAATGGCGGATATGCAGTGCATGTTTTGTGATAGTTATTAATTCACACTGCATTCATTCTGTGGTTCGTCATTCACTTTTAACTTGTTCGTTAACTTATAGACCAGAGCAGCGATTCAAGGAGCATATACGACATGATAGACAAACTGAAGAACCCAGGATGATTTTGAAGAGGGACAGCGCTAGTCTTGAAGACAAAGAGGTAACTACTATTGCCCTACTGTACATGTTTGCGACGATGGACACGAACTTGGAATGCTCACCTTAACATATGGACCACTAGTTTTCTGTGTTGTATTGCACACAGATGACTTTGTTCTGTTTTTGTAAAGAGAGCTCGGTATTTTATCCAGGTTTGGTGGATATGTATCGTCTTGGGTGTCAAAAACCAAAGAAATGAGCAATGTTGATGCAATTTAAAAACTCTGCTCATTTCCAGTTTGTTTTGAATGTGTACATCACCCTATGCTTAACTACAGACATGTTTATATTCATAGTGTGATACCTGTATTTATGTTGTAAATATGAATGTGCCTGATTAGTTGCAGGATGGTGCTTGGTCATTTTCATTTCATAGGGGCACTGTTTTTTTCTTTATTATTGCTTACCTAAATGACAGGGGTGCGTCTGCGTTCAAAATAGATCGTATTTTAATGATCTGCATACAGTAAATGCAATTTTGAGTTTATGTGTTCTATTAGAGATGATCTTGTAAGAGCTATTCGGGAAATATCCCAGTTCATCTGAGTAATATACTTTGGAATATTTGGCCGAAAGCGGGGATTAACAGTTGATTGCTATAGTTCCCAATAGACCTTGTTTTGACATTTAACTGTGTATATACTTCCAGTGCTGCAAATTGAATGCATACTTAGCAATATTAGCTGTGGATAATAGAGGGCGCTATCTTTTCTACATTAGTGATTAATTCTTGTATGTTGCTGACCATAGATGTTGGCTTTCGTATATATTCCGTGAGCGTACCGTGTGGTTTTTTGTATAAAATGTCTAATTCGACCAAATATAATTGATCTGCACATGTACCATTTCCATGTTTCTGAGTTGCGTATGTAGTATATTTTAACTACTAGAAGCAACAAGAGTGCTGTTACGAAACTAGAAACAAGACAGGCCGTTTTGAAACATATTATATGATGAATACTTGTATCTGAATCATTTTTGTAGGCTTGTGGTTATGTTACTGTAAATGCACCATTTTAATGGGCCCCATAATAAGTGCTGCCTGGTCCCAAATTATCGAAACTTTATGAGAAATGTAAACGCTATATTGTTACAATATTGAACTAGGCAGTTTATTACATCTTGCTGGTCATATCATCTTTAAGCGAACAATTTGTTGTTCCTATGATAAAGAAACCTAGTTGTATCTTCACATAGTGTAAACAATATCATAATATCATAATTACCTCATTGAATTATTATTTTAAAATTTGCATTTCCTTCGTAAATTAACGTCATCCTCTGACCAATATACGTGAATACACGATGAAATGTTGAGGAGTTATAAGAAATTAGCTGCTATAAAGCAATAGACAATCACAGAGTTAAAAAAACTTTGTTTGTCTTCGGAGGTCAGTCACATTGTAGATATGTTTGAGATAAGACCCTCAAGTACTCCCAAAATGGAACATGTCAGCAAATGAGGGCAGGCTAACATTTTAAAAACTAAAACAGCACAATTTGAATACATTTTATGTTTTAAGCTTATTATTTTGTTGTGTTGTTTTACACATTTGCAAAGTGCAATGCAACTTTAATTATAGATTACAAATTAAATAATGCATTATCGCTTATCAAAATTATTTGCTTATTATTTGGCCCATTTTTTGGGGGAAATACAGCTTTGTATTATACAAGAGAATGTTCACAAATGGTAAATATTTTTTTTTTGACAAAATTTGGTGCAACATTATACCTGTTTTTATGTGTTTTGATAATTTTGGACCAAATGGGCATAATTTCCTATTGGCTGCAAGTTTTCATAAAAAAATTTGAAAAAATTACCAAAAAATTATATGGATTTCAAATTTGTGAATGTTGACAAAAGTTGACTTTGGCGCACAAAAGATTAAAGTTGCTTTCTCACTTTGTATTATGTAATCACCATGAAAATTATAAAAGCACTGAATTAAGCCAGTCTGCACTGAAGATTGTAGTGTCTAATCAGAAAATGAAACATAATTTTCATTGTTGTAATCACAGTGGTCAGTGAGAGGCTTTCTACAAATCTTACAATGTGGGAATGAAACTTTAACTGGTTTTGCATGTTATAGAAATCCCCAAGGGAGGTATATACTTAATTTGAAACATGCAATGTCAGTAAAACATAATGTGAGCCCGCTGGTGTTGTTTCCATGCATGATACCTCATGGTTACTCAGATTTGACATGCCTTATGTAACAAGAACAGTGAATGAGATCAGAGCTAAAAATAGAATGATACAATGTCAATGACCTTTTACATCAATAAATGTAACTATTGCCTTTCTAGTATTTTTATGATGTCATAAAGAATGGAAAATTCAATTTTATTTGAAGTGTGATTTTGTACATTACTCGTTCATTGCTCATTGAAATGCTTTGTAGTTATTTTTGTTCGCTATTGCTTTAACGTGAATTCGATGTATACTAGGAAGTTGATTTAGTGTGAGCTCTCAAGCTTTCAATTCTTGCCATACTACATGTACTGTAAAATCTGTATTAAAAGCTGCGGCTTCTATTAAAATGGTACAATGCAACAGAGGGGATGTGGCTTCTATTAGAGCATCTACACATATGAGAAATGCCGAATTTTTAGGTCTCAATTGTTCAAAAAAAATGGGTGCGGCTTCTATTAGGGATGCGGCTTCTAATACAGATTTTACGGTAGTATCTTGTCCAGTACCTTCAGTTGATTTTCTGTTACATTGCTGGGAAGTATAAGAGAAAGTTTTTAGTTGGCAATGTAAAAGGGAATATATACCAATATTTGACTGCCGGGTACTCAATGCAATCATGGTGAATAAAGTGTAAACAGCAGTATATGTATATTCAGCACTGATAATTCTATGCATAGTACCGTAGGACCTTTTTCTGGCAGATGTCATTTTTAACTTCTTTCCAGTTTTGAAATATCATGAAAGTCTAGGCTGTGTCAAATCCATAATGTATGTAAAGGCAGTGTTATATTAAAAAAGTTTATTATTCAGAATTGATGTGATGGCTGTACTGCATACAATAATTTAAATCAGAGTTGCTGCTAATTTAATAAGCATTTTGATTATTCAAGTAAAATAACAATTGACTATGTATTGTAATAGATATAGTTGAAGTGTAACTAAGTGTTAGGTTTCATTACCATTAGTGATATTTTGCTACATTACGTTCTCAAGTCAGTTCCATCCACTGTGGAATGTTTAAAGCCTTTTGTTTGCTATGTGTTTGTCTTTGTATAAAATATGCAAATTTGTTTTATGCTAATAATCTAAGTCAAAAGCATCAAATGTTTATGCAAATAAGCTAAGGTTAATTAAAGATCGGCATGAAAATATTTATGCAAAATAAGCATGGGTAAACCTATGGCCACTGTATGCAATACAGCTTAAGTCGATTAATGGTCAACGTAGCGGTCAATTGAAAGTCTGTATGCAAATGTTTATGCAAATCATTGTGGCCAATTTAAGGTTAGCATGCAAATGTTTATGCAAATCATCATGGCCAATTTCAAGTCAGCTTGCAAATGTTTATGCAAATCATTGTGGTTAATAAGGTCAGCATGCAAATGTTTATGCAAATCACATGCAAATGTTTATGCAAATCATCATGGCCAATTTCAAGTCAGCTTGCAAATGTTTATGCAAATCAGTGTGGTCAATAAGGTCAGCATGCAAATGTTTATGCAAATCATTGTGGTCAATAAGGTCAGCATGCAAATGTTTATGCAAATCACATGCAAATGTTTATGCAAATCACATGCAAATGTTTATGCAAATCATCATGGCCAATTTCAAGTCAGCTTGCAAATGTTTATGCAAATCATTGTGGTCAATAAGGTCAGCATGCAAATGTTTATGCAAATCATTGTGGTCAATAAGGTCAGCTTGCAAATGTTTATGCAAATCATTGTGGTCAATATGGTCAGCATGCAAATGTTTATGCAAATCATTGTGGTGAATAAGGTCAGAATGCAAATGTTTATGCAAATCATTGTGGTGAATAAGGTCAGCATGCAAATGTTTATGCAAATCATTGTGGTCAATAAGGACAGCTTGCAAATGTTTATGCAAATCATTGTGGTCAATATGGTCAGCATGCACATGTTTATGCAAATCATTGTGGTGAATAAGGTCAGCATGCAAATATTTATGCAAATCATTGTGGTCAATAAGGTCAGCATGCAAATGTTTATAAATACCCACAATTCTTTATGATAGAACAGTTGGCTAAATGCAACGTTATTCTCAAAAGGGACAATGTGCATGTTCTTGAA